GTTCTTGAATATATACACACGTATGATTTTTTTTAAAAAAAAATATTTGTTTACCCTTTTCGTTGTGTAATTTTCTCCTACCTTCAAAGCATTTAAAGTTTTACGTCGGGCATACTTCCACCGACGCATGCCCTAGGGGGGGAGTTATATGGTGACATATATTCAGTGATTTTTGTAACAACAAAAATAAAAACCACATTTTTTCTCTAATTTGTCACACTTTATTTGTAACCACATTTTTATCCAATATCTGTTGTTTTGCTGTATCACTTGTTAAAAAGACGATAATAATTGTTTCGATGAATGGTATACACTTCTACTACCGGGTTGTTTAAAATATAGAGCAATACCTACGCCGTTTGTTCTTCTGTTTTATCGGCCACCGTTTTGATTGAAGACTATAATAGTATTATAACATCATTATAGGCCTTCCGACTCAACGTTGGACTTTTGGCACGGATTACTATTGTATAATACTATTGGACTCCGTCTTCCTCATTACGTCTTTGGTGCAGTCACTTGCAGAGGAACACCTGTCAACCAAGTGAACTCAGTTTGTGGTCGTTGTCCTCACGAGGCAGTTAACAAGTAACATTCATTCTATAGTAACTGTTAGCGTCTGTTTTGTTTAATATACCTTTTGTATTGCTAACGGTATTTTATTACCTTTGTTTTTACTAACGGACAGACATCTAGGTTTCTTAATCAATAATTTGTTTTGGTATATCATTGTTAACCTAGTGTATCAATATATTTTGTGTAAGCTCCTATTGTTTGGGGACCACCACAGATTCTTAGTTCGTATTATAATTCAAATACTCCTAAATATCACAATCATCTTGTGGAGATAGGTCTGACAAGCTTATTTTGTAAATAGTTTTTAATATTATTTGTATTTATTTTGTCAATTTCTCACTACATGTACATTTATCATTAAATGATTGTACCTGTTGTTTTAGTAAATGACCTTGAAGACATTTTCCGTTGTGATACTACATAGCGTGACACATCGTTGCTGGTTAACAAATACACTGCTTCTCACACATCCTTCGTTTTATTTTCATTCGAGATTGAGTTAACTGAGATCTAAAACAAATATTATTTACATTCATAGACTGTGAGAGCGAATACACCATACCTTAATTTGGATTACACCACTGGGGATTTCATCGATACGTTTGGAATTACCAAACATCTATAATTGTGGACTTATTGTACCAGATTGAAGCTGAACACGCATCCTTTTGGGTGAACTTAAGTAAAGTCCCATTTTTATTGTATTTGTAACATTTAACTAATATATATTAATATTACTATTGCTTTTTATTAACTTTGTTGATACTTTTTGTGTTTATATATCGTCTGGTCCACCACAGACTTTCATATTCTGTCATACGCAATTGATCTCAAGATTTGGAGGTTCCAGGTTAAACTAATATGTTACTTCATTGAATACTTTAAATAGAACACAAAACAGAACCCACATATGCTTCCTCTCAATACCGAGGTGTGTTCTTGTTGAACAGTACTGATAATTCATGTATTTCTGGATGGGGTCAAGTAAACGTCACTGAGTCCTAGAAAAATCATCAATCAGCCTAAACCATTTATACATTAAGCGTTTAATCACTGACTGTTAAACGGTCTATTGAACATTGTCAACGCCAAGGATGACTAACGACCATTAATCAATTGAATATAATGAACAAGCTAGTGAGGCAAAGATCACAATGTGTTCCCCAGCTTATCCTAACTAAAGGTAGTATTATTATTATTGGCTTTACTCAATGTTATATTTTCGGTACTATATAAAATTGCCAATACAAATTACTTAAACAAGTTTCCTTTAAAAAAGCGAGACAAACTGATAACTTAATACACGTGTACATAAATTCAGTAAATAACCTAACTGAAATTAAATTAAATGTTTTTGAAAAGATAAGAATCAGTACAAATTTCAAATTAGAAATTGGTCTCGAACTACATGTCATTGATTAGGTCACGTCTAACAACTTGTTCATCACACAGCATATTTACTAGATAATGTATGGTAAAACTCATATATTTTTATTTGTGCGGACAAATTCTAATGTATTGGCGACACATTCTACCAGGAAATACACAATGAGAAAGGTGTGGATAAGCGTGATGGTTAGTATTTGAAAGATAACACTTGCTAAGATTTCGCAGGATTTTAAATTTTTATCCAGAACCACATTTATGATGCCCTCAAAAGATTTACGACACACCATGCGAATTGCCTCCAGTACTTTTTGTGAAACAGCGAAATTTATCCTCAAAGGCTGGTAAAGAATGATGGAGAATAGTAAAGAATAATAAGTGATTAGCGATGATTCACGCGTTGTGAAAGTAAACGTTGAGTAATGTGAAAAGCATGCAACCTCTCTATGTAGTAAGTCAGAAGAAAATCTTTTTTATAACAATTGAGCAGGAAAAGACAAAGAGAGACCGGAGAAAAAAATTACACCCACATAAATGACTTTCTACACTTTTTTATTGAAGAATTTTTAATAATACAGGCTCAATCGGATTCCAACAGGTTGTTTAAGTGCTGTTTACGTCTCAGACTAAAGTTAATGGTTATACATTTGGAAGGATTGAGCGTAAAACGGTTAAAAACAGGTTATCTTTTATTATGTAACTAAAACTCATTTGGAGATGTGAAGAGGTAAATATCGGAATAAATAGATTGAGATTGCTTGCATTCCCAACTAAATTGTTTGCTGTAGAAAATGGCAGCTCATTCAGAAAAGGATAGGGGAGAAACAGCTCCTTGTGACACATGTTCTGGAGTTAGCAGAGACGTTGATAACATAAAAATAATTGTAATTCTTCAAGTGTTTTGTACGGTATCTTAAAGTTTAACAGTTGATAGGGTTGTTTTAGAACTTAAACCGTTCAGAGGTAGATCTACATCAGTTCACATTTACAAATGTACCTACAACGTCGTCATATCTTTTCTCATTGCTTGATCTATCGTCAAATCTTGTAGTGATATTAAGCAATCTTCGTGTAATTCATTTAAACAGGATTCTTAAATTGCAGTTGTACCACAATTTTGATAAGTGTTTGAACTTAGTAGGAAGTGGAGATTATCTTACTAATAGATTATCTGGAGTTAGAAGTTAGCAATATAGGACTCGACAAGCGATTAGTGCCCATTCTTTTCAACTGACATTCCCAGCCACCACTTTGACTTTTGTACCTTGCAAAGCGATATGTCGTAAAATGTTCGTGTACGCTCTTGAATAGGTTATATAATTAACAGGCATAACATTATGTCGAAACAAACAAAAAGATAACTCGTTGACACATTTATATGAAAGTGACAGATAGTCCATTCAAACAGGTGGCATGTTTGAACTTATAAGAGCGATCAACAACAGTTATTAACCTCGAGTTGTGACTTCTATGTAAGCAAAGAGGTCACATCACTCCCATCTTGCTCGAGTAGACCTCCATTACTGAAACGGATAACCTATCTTTGGTGATCTAAAATGCTGACGCCACACCCTTTCCCATGGAAAAGTATCTAAACATCAGTCCGTTTGATACTGTTTTTTCTATTGACATCCCTTAAACAAGAAAGAACATACGTTCTTAAGATTTCTTTCCAGAGCAATGTATAGTTCCACCCTGAAATCGTTCAAAACTATTTTCGCCACTCACGTAAACTTGACTGGTTAAAAAAACTTTCATCTTTCCCTCTTGCCTTAAAAAGTACATCACTGTGAATTATGTTCGAAGGAGTGTAACCAAAGTGGTGTTCGAACTAAAGATAACATCTGTTTAGCTCACACGGTAGCTGTAAGTTTGATGTACCATAACGGTCACAATCACTTTCACTCTAACATATTACTTCCATATTTTAATATTATCTTGCAGCAAGGCGTACGTACATTAAGAACAGACAAGAACGATTTCAAAAAAGTCCACACACACCTATTCATAGAAATATCCAGTAAACTTCGAAAAATTTTACCGGAGTTCATATCGGCAGAGTTGTTTAAAAGATTATGACAATTAATTCAGTATCGTAGTTAGATGGGTTGTTACTGCATGAATAACTTTGGGATTACCTATGTTGTTAGAAGCCATTTTGCCTTCCAGTTTCAAAGTAAACACAATAACAACAACCATGCCTTTTATTATCAAGAGCGTTTCTTTCAACCCGACTGAAGATTCAATAGCTCTCTAGCTCCGTGACCTGAAGTTTGAAGTTCGGAGTGTAAACCACCTCCCTCTTAGACAAGCTATCTGACGCATGTCTCGTGATTTACCATGGTTGTCACATCAGCAACTACTCCCTCTTCCTATTATTCACATCTTCGTTTCCCCTTTTATTCTTAGAATCCGGTCTCCTCATAGTGTCTGAATTACCAACTATTAAATTTATTTACCACTGAAACAATTGTTTTTTCTTAACACTTAAATCACCACTTTATTATTTCCATATCGTAATCGACCAACCTCCTGCCTGGTAATGTGGTAGTTTCTGGTTTCACGAAACCTTACTGTCCTGAAACAAACGCACTCACTCAAATTACAAAATCTACAAATATCTACTCCACTGACTAGAATTAGTCAAGTTGATTGGCCAGACTACCACAAGTTGCCCATTATCAAGTACCTATAACTGCGACGAAAGAAAAAGAAGCGACTGCAAAGCAATCATTGGGTTTATACAAGCTCGTGAGGAATATATTGGGTATTGGATACGTCCGCACATACTTTGAATGATCAAGGTCACTGAAACCAGAAGAGGCAAGTTCTTCTCAATTAATCAATCAGTTTAAATTAATCGCTCGTGCTAACTTACTAATCAGCTCACGCTTTTTGCCTTTTTTATTCAGACACTTCTGGTGGTTCAGTGGGCTCCAACCTCTAAACTCACATTTTTTCAACTGTGTACGTTAGCCTAGAAGTTAACCGCTCGGTATTGCGAATGATGGACTAGCCGTTTCTGCTTCCCCCCCAAAATGCGAGATATTGGTAAGAAAAAGTGATTATTATTTGACTGTAGTTCGAGAAGCGCGCTTTTTTTGCTTACAAGTTGCAAACTGGAGATGAATATTTTGAGACGTTAGACTCAGTTACAAATCTCAGGGTTAAATTGGAGCCGAAAACAACATTACGAGAACTTCGAGCTCCAAGGTCTCTGTTCAGTTTGCTCTTTCGACGCTGATTAGGTTCAAGTCCGAATGTTTGAATATGTGGTGTGCAGATGTTATTTTTACTGCCCGGTTGCACAATCCAAAGTATGTCGAACGAGTATAAACCCATTACATACATTGATGCATTGTACCTGAATCATCATATCACGGCTTATAAGGATTCCGTCTTGACTTTTAAGAGAGTAAAGACATTTTTTACCGCAAATATATCTTTGTGTATCCATTCTAAGTAATTTTATTTCCTACCTAGATGAGAACGTTGCTTTTGCCTCACTTTACAATAATCAATTCGGATTAATATTTGGACGTTCTGAGTGAGTTCGTTTCACTTTAAAAAAAAACCTAAATATTTGTTTCCTCAATAAAAACATGTTACCTAAACGCTATTCTGGACTTGTTAAAAACATGGTAAAACATGTCTACAGATTTAGGGTAAATACTAGATAGATCAGTCAAAACTACATTCTTGTTTTCTCTAGGCCATGCTCACCCTTAACTTAACTCTGTATAAATTTTAGGAAGATATTTAAAACATCTTGAGTGTTAAAAAAATAAATAAATTTCGAAAGTATACCTTTTCTATTCGTTTTATACCTCGAACGGTTTGAAGTAATTCAATGGAGGATAATGTCATTATGCTTATCAAAATAGTTATTGGGAAACATATTCAACAATTGACAGGTTACATAGTGCCTAATAAATGAACCAGCTGAATACTTCTGTGACAAGATTTTTACAATGGTCATATAGACGAAAAAAGAATGAGAATATTTGGTAATAAGAAAACGTAAGTTCTGTTTTAAACTGCTCTAGTATGACCTTTTCAGTAACCAAAGTACAGGGGTTGTACAAACTTATGAATATCCGTTCCGATACCTTCACTAATAAGTAAAGAAAGGGTCTGTAAACAATCCGATATATTTGCTGAAATACGGTTGATAACTTGACGAGCCTAATTCATATGAAATTAGTGCCCGGTATCAATCAGCCTTGAATATCCTTCACTCAGCCAGATTGGGCGATGCGGAAAACTAAGTTGTGCGCCATATATGATTAACTTAAGAGTAGTTGGACAGATACACCCACGTAAGCAGTAAATTCAGGCCGTTTTTCCTCATTAACGGTTGTCATTATCAGAAAACTGCGAAAAAATCACTGCGTTTGGCTGCGGTAAACGTCTTTGTATATTCTTTCCTAACCCTCGTGTTGGTATCTTATGGTCATCGTTTCGGTATTATGGCTTCAAAAACAGTGAATAGTACTATTTCCTTTGGAGTTTTGTGCCATGTGTAACTTGAATGCGTACCTTTATGTGGGTTCATACGTTTCTTTAGTGTTTCCTACGAATGACCGTAGAATGAAAAAGTAGGAATTATGGAAACGGCTCGATTCATTATAAAAAAGATTGATCATTTACCGAAAACAATATAGTCGATTTGTCCACCTTCCTCACACACCAGCCATTGTCTGTTAGTCTTGTTACTCATAACTGCCGTTCTGATCTTCTAGTCTTAAGCCCTCAGTATATTACTTCAATCATTCATATGTTTATCATGGCTTTCTGAATTTCACTATAAGTAGTAGAGGACAAACAGGTTGACAGTAGGCCAATTAATTCCATCTGTTTTGTTCCTTCTCATAATGTCTTTTACTATGAGGTCATCATACTCATATCTTTCTCGATATTTGAACCCTTCTTCTGCTCTTCCAATTAAGTATTCGTGAATTTATATTTCCAGCATATGTTTGTTTTTTCCGTTTTAGTAGCCACAGCCACCACTACTATTTCTTGTTATTTTTGAAGAAGCTCCTGATAGCATTAAAAGTATGATGTTCCTCGGATTCTTACTATACATTTTAAAGCACTGACTGCCTCTGACTAGTTTAGATTCAAATAACAGATTAAATGCAAGTAACCCATCATATCACCTGTGCACAAAGTTATTGACCAGTAATCTAACTCCTACAAGATAAAATGTGATAGTTTTTATTGTTTATTTATTTATACACTTAAACATTGGTACAAGAAGGCACCAAATTTATTCCTGTTCCTCTTATTATGAGCTTTATTTTGACCTATGAACTGTTATTATACCATTCACCATTCTTGAGTTATGCCCTGTCTATCGATTGCTACCCCCCACATTCACAACCACATTTGGCTAAATCTTGTAAAAATGTTGTTTCCTATTTTATGTTACGATGTGGTCTGTTTGGTTGCTATATAAACCCAGTATGTTTGAAATACATGATTCATATCACAGAGTCTGAGATTGGCGTTCTAGACTTAACAGGCAGGGCTAGGCGGGAAGCAGGATCGCTAAAGACTCTAGACTGCTTGCATAGGTTTTATGCGTCATTGGTCCGGTCGATAATTCACTGTTCCCTAATTGGCGGTATCTTTACGTCATACATTGATAGGGGCACAAACCCACAAGTTATAATAGTAGCAATATCTTTTTAGAAAAAGGTAAATGTATAGCCTGAATAGAATTATGTCGCTAGAGGAAAATAATTTTTCATGGAAGGGTAAGAGACTCGTGTTTATAATGCGTACTAGTAAAGTTGAATTAGGAATATGAAGACCCTATTGTTAACCAAGGTGAATTACGGGATTGGATTTATCCGTCTTTTACATGTCAGGTTTCCCTTAGTTCATACGAAATACTACCACTATATTGATTATGTTTAATGGTACTCATTTGGGCATATTAATTGGGGCCTGACTGTAAAAAACATGTTCATCCTCAATATGTCATCAATTTTCGATTAGTTGGGAAAGAATCACAATTTATAGACCTAGTGATGTCTTTCTAACTATCCCGGTACGTGTTCTTGAGTTTGCAAGAAAAAAGCTCTTTGATTGCTGTTTCTATCGGAGCATTTAGATTGTTAAACACAAAGATGAGCTGCTCATTGATATCTTATGCTTCGTTTGTTATATCAGTATCAAGTTAGTTAAGAAGGCAAATATTGATGCAGAATAGTATGAATTCATTTTGAGGTTTCTCGTCAGCTGCCAACAACCAAATATGTATTAGAATTTAACATTGAGGTAAGAAATAGTGTGAAACACGACATAATTGAATGTAAATAAGTGGAATGACAAAGGTTATCAATAACAACTAAATATATGTACAAGAACAGGTCAGAGGTTATTTGATGTTAGAATCAAGCAAACATTAAGGATGGGTGGTGTAATAGTTGAGTGGAGTTCAGAGACAGATAAGATAAATTGTGATAATTTTAGAGGTAACGAAGGATGCATGAAATAAAAAACGGATAAGATGGGTTGCGTAATAATTTGATAGAATTTGAAGAGTTCACATAATTTAAGAGGATCAAGTGAGCAGAAATGTCTGAATGAAAGGGTGGTTTAAGAATTCTGTAATGGGAGAGGAATATAACACAAACTAAATATTTTACGAAATAAATACAATAACACTGATAAGCAAAAAACAAAAAAATTGGATTACCAGGGTAATAATAAGTTTATTACTGTCTCTTTTTGAATACATAAATCCGATTTAAGTTTTTTTATCGCAATCGCTTCAGCAAAACGACGAGCAGCCGTACTTCTTTATCTGCTAATAATTTTAAAAGCATGCGGAATGTCGATGGTGTGCCTGGTGTCAAGTAAATGTTGAGCTATTGCACTATTGAGAGCCCTAGTCCCTCGCAGCCTCAATTTCTTTAGAACATGCTTAGAAATGCGAACATGTATTCTTCTCTCAGTTCTTCCAATGCATACATCAAATGTTTCATACTATTTATTACTTCAATGTTAAATTCTGATACATATTTGGTTGTAAGCAGCTGAAGAGAAACCTCGAAATAAAATGGATTCATACTATTCTACATCAATATTTGTTCTGGCTTTATTTAAATTCACGAAAAGAACTAATTGCATGAAATTTTAGTGTTCCATTTTTGTTGAATTCCTTGTCTTGTGTCGTTGAAAAGTGTAGAAACCCAAGCTGACTCTATTCCATGTAGCGTTTCATTTTTTTGCTTGTGTAATAATGTGAATAAATATAAATGTAACAAAATTTATGAAGCTGAGGTGTATTCACTGAGATTACTTGCCATAAAGATAGAGTTGCTAAGGCATTCATTTAAATGGTTTTGTAAATTTAATCAGTTTGGAGACTTTTAATTATAACCAGAATCCCATTGGTTCACTGAAAGATACACCCAAAACTGTTCAATGGTAGTTCTCCACTTCAACGCCCCTTACGTCAAACATAGTATACCACTAATTGTTATGTACTGTTCAGTTGAAGAAATTAAGAACTTGATGACTGCAACAGCAGGTTGCTTTCAAATTTCTTTGGTCATTTGTAGTCATTTTGAAATCAAAGCAGTTTTCAAACAGTATTTTGTTGTCTGTGGCATTCATTGATATTTGTAGTGTCAGTATGTTAGTATACCCGCATAATTTTAAATAAAGTAACTATGTTTTTGTACTCTCTGCTAGAAGTATTAATTTGGCAGCTTCTACCTCTGTGATTGAAGGACTTCCTGATGAACAGAGGACATCTCCAGTTCGACGCACATTTCTGCTCGCTGTTCTTTTCGACATTATTCTAAGTTTTATTCTGTGGATTATATATACTAAAGTAAGAACTAGCTAAACTTTCGTCATTATTTGTGATTCAATTAAAAGTTTGCAAAAAGTTTCCTTGTTCAGCAGTCATTTCATTCGTCTCCCCCTTCATTAATATAAAGGTCAAAAAACTGCTAGATCATCTGTTTCTACTTAAAAATAGCAATGTTTAGCCACTCATGTCAAATTGGAAAAAGCCTCTGTAATGTTAGTGCATAGTTTTATTGTAAGATTATGTCCGGTTCACTTTACTCCGCCGAGAATGTAACCTTTCATCGAAACCACATGCCGCAGTTTCAAAGATCTCACAAACAGTTAAAAGTAATGTAAAGTACGACAACATTCAATTCTGTTGTTTGACTGTTATACATAACGTTTATTGTTCAGATACATGAAAAATTACTAGTGTTTGATTATCTCTTGATTAAAAATTTTGATCTCATCTCATAAAATCGTTAGGTAAACATTACCAATGTAGTCTATTGTAAAGAGTAGGGTTACTAAGCCACTTTTCAGATATTGGTTTGTCAGTACTAACTGAAACGAGAAAAAAATGCAACGATTCGTAGTAGTTAGATAAAAATGTAAGCACAAGCCATGAGATATTGGTTAGTCTGAAGCATATAGGAATGTGTCAGAAATCACTGTTTTATCATTAAGTGGACGAAATTAGTTACATGTTAGTTGCAAAATGATTGTATGATATGTTGGTCACTGCTTTCACACTATTTCTCTCGGTTGTATCTGTTTGAAGTTAAATCATCTGCATTTGTAATTGTTTTTAACGTTTCATTTGTAGTCATTTTAAGTTTTGTTCCAATATTTTAGTAAGGTGATCTAAATTATTCATTTCATGCTTACTGATAAACCAAAAATTAATATAATATTTCGGTTATTGTTGATTGATGAATCAATCTTTTAGCCAATCATCATTTTAATTCCTTTTCATTACTGTATTGGTTTCAGCAAACGTATCCTCTCAGTATTGGTGATGCAATGTTGGAAGAAATAAAAAATTATGATTTCTCTAAATCACTTTTCGATACAGTTGTGAGTATTTTCTACTAGGATTTAACTTTATTCATGAACTGTATTTTAAATTTCAAGCTTCATTCTATGTTTATGTCTACTAACCGCTTTTTTATCTAGCCCGATTTACTGTAAACAGGTTGTGTACTGTTAGCTAAGAGCTAGACGTTGGTTTTTAATGGAAACTGAGGTAAGCGGAGCATGTATTACCTATATTTATCTATCTCGAGCTTTCTAGTGCTAACTGAAATGAGACGTTTTTGTGAGGGAAAGTTTTACGTCATTCTATCCATTTACTGAATTGAGATTGGAATTTATTGTCAGTTATGGATTAGTAAATAAAAACTTAAACCACCGATCATTTCTGTGGTAGATTCACAGGTAGGTGTTTTAGTTGAAGTTTATGAAACATAGGAAGATTAGTTTCTTTTCACTGTGTTGCCGTCAATTACAGTAATATGAGTTCATTTGTTCTTCATGCTGATGCTATTAATCGACACACTATTTAGTATTCGACTGTTTCTGTTATTAATTTTTATTCATCAATTGCATTCCTCCTAATTTGATATTATTATTCTTATCAATATTATTATTACTGTTATTGATGTTCTGTCCTTGGTTTCATTTTGTGTTGTTTTGGATGCCACTGAATCAAGTTAACAAACATTTCTTCCCATGCCTCTCGCTGTTTTGTCTGGTGATTTTATCTTGGGTCTCAAGTACTTCACTGAAATGTAGGATTCTCAATATATATATCCACTTGTTTATTCAAAGATTAAATTCTTCTACTTTCATTAAAGATTAGTTGCAAAACTGCAAAATCCAAAGTTATAAGATTTTTCAGAAATCACATACTCGTATTATTAAACATACAGATTATTTGTTACTTTGTTAATATTAAGTAACTATCAATTACTTTTACTGGTTAGAAAATTTACCTTCTAGCTTGAATTGTTTATTTTTTGTTATTGGTTGTCTTGACAATTCATTGCTTTGAAATTATTGTATTCATTTTGATGATTGGGTTAAATGTCCCCACTTTTGCCCAGTTAAAATCCTAGTTATAACCGTCTGAATTCACTATTTATTTCCGATAAAAGGAATGAATTCTCTTTGCACTAGCTACCACTAACACCGAACTAAGACAAAGTCCTTTTCATCTAGCCTCAACTAGTCCACAAGATAAAGTCCACTAGTGACGAGGATTTGTAGATCGTCCACAGGTTGTCTTTACACAGTCATTGTATATAAATGTATTTCCATATCTTTGGAAGCACTGTAATAAAACACAGCATTTAAAGGTCAGCAAAGCAGTAATATCAAAGCGTCTTTAACTCTGATAAAAGGAATACACTGTATTAGGAGTAGTATCTATTCGCTTTGTTGACTTGTACTGATTAGCCGAAGACTAGTCAGTCAGCATTTCCAGATTTCAGCTTGGATTTTCTATCAATCTGATTATAGTCTTGCTCGATTGAAGTAAATGATTCTTCAGTGCGGCCAATCGTTTCTTCTGACTTATATGTTAAAATGTGAAATATCACTGGTTCAATCTTTAAGGCAATGTCACATGAAAATCACTTTTAGACTGGTACCTATAAAAATTTATCACAATGAGTGTAGATTTATTAATGTATTGTTAGGTTAGACACACAAATAATCTGTCTACATCATGTAGCATAACGTGTAAAATCTTTCATTTTATAAATCCACCAACACTTAATGGTTGAATTCAGAAATATTGGCTTTATGAAATTAGATCTTACCAACTAAAAAGATTTATTATTATTATAGACTACAAATGGTATCCTTCCATTACTATACTAATAATTAGTACTTGTTGGGTGATAGTTATTAAATGTCTTTAGAAGATGTTTCAAGTCATATCTCAATTTCAACATTTTATCTTATCATGCTGAGCCATCTTTTCCCAATGATGTTTTCCCTATATATCTTTTGATGAATACTTAAGCCATTAACAATCAAACGATTATTAAACTTTCCTTGTTTAAAAGTTTTTTTTAATACCTTTGTTTATTTAACTTCATTGTCACCATGTCTAACAGTTTATTATCAGTATTATTATCATCCTGTAAAATAAGTATATATATTTGCGATTGTACAGCCTTGAAAATGAATTCGCCGAAAAGAGAACTCTTCACTGAACTAGTCTTTCTTATTTAAAATCATTTAAGTCGTAATGTACTTAATAACAATGTTGATCTAAACAAAGATGGATGGTGGCTAGCAGTGTAGTCCAGGACGCGCGTTTTGTCCTATTTGAGACTCGTCAGCGGAATGTTACTGCAACCCAGAGTTGTTGTTCACTCCGGGACTCGATAACTTTAAGTAATATTTCCTATTTGTTGTAATAATATTGTGAGTATATATAAAACTTAAGGTAATACCAAACTTTTTAATCACTATAACCGGCAAATAAAAAAAAACTGTTAAATGTTACTTAAATTATTACTGACATTATTTTTTGTAACGACTCTATCGGAGTCATCTATTTTATCATTTCTCCTGAATGAACTTTAAACATTTGTATTTCTTTCCTTTTTATGATCAATTTTTTAAGTATATTTAATCATGCATAATTTGACTAACCTGTTTGATTTAAATCCTGCAAATCAGTGGGGAATGACATACATAATCAATGATTTCATAAGCGTTACACCTTTCAAACATCATAAAGTCTGGTGTTTAGTTAATTCTATCCACATGTCGATTTATCTCGTGCATATGACTCAAATTATGTGTAAAATTGGTTTGCTTCATTTCAAAAGTATAATAAATGCCTTGTGTTTTAGCATGCCTGTTTCATGCCATAACCATTGTAATTGTAGGTGTCGAAATTTGAATCAACTAAAAACTGTTAAGGATATTTGTATTTTGTTTAATATACAAATTTGTCTGTATGACAAGACTGAAAACAATAGAAGACTGATATGAGTCTCAGTAATTTATTGAAGTTAACGATGTTAAAGTGAATCATGTAATTTAGTTTTATTAAAAAGAGAACCTATATTTAGAGCTGTTTAAAGGATTAATGCCTAAACCATCTATTATTTTGAAACTTGAACGGCTCTCATAAATTTTAGAAGAACAATCATCTCTTATAATTTTTGTACTGTAAATGGTTGAGTATGAAATTCTAGTCGAAAAATTTATGGTCGTTAATGACAGTGTTCTGTAACTTTTAAAGTGTTTACTAAGATATGCAAATTAAATAGTGAATAATGGTCTGTCTCTTGATTACTTCATCCCCTTTCTATACTTGATTTGGAAAACGGATAGATCAAGCCAAGATTGAAAGTTGATAACTTTATAATAAACTAATTTGACTGTCGACCTTATGTCTCAGATTCCAACATTACTTTGAGTAAATCCGTTCACCTACAAATTGTAGAGGTATTTACTAAATTAAGCATCTTGAGAATTCTCTCTTAGGTTTTTAGAGTTTAAAAATATTTCTGTGCAATGGTGCTAATAAATGTAAACTAGTTCCAATACCTGTATTCAATTAGACATAAAGGACCTTGTTTTAAACGGAACATTCAGTAGAAGTTCTAAGTTTGCGTACAGCATAATCAAAGCTTGAACCTTCTTCGTACTCGTATACTCAAGTATTCATGTTCACTTTAAATTTACTTAGTGGAAGTGGTAGAACTGCATGCGTTTATGAAGAATTATTGATTATCCAAAATAAATATGCCCGACTACTATTTGCTGTTGAGTCTTGGGATATTAGCTTAAGGTTTATGCTCCCAGTTGGAATATGTGCCTCCTATGCGAATCACTTCGATATAGCCATTTTGTTACATGTTATTTTAGGAGATATAAATTATGACTAGTAGTGGGATCCAAGTCTCGTGCTTTGCCCTACTTTGAGACCCGTCAGTTGAATGTTCCTGGCTCCTAGTATCAATATTCACACCGGCACTCGAACTCAGTACCTTTTATTTCAAGCGTTATGATCGGAGCCACTGAATCAAGGTATTCGCCAGCTTGTGCAACAGGTACATTCAGCTAACTAGTTCCAGAGAGAATAAAACGCATATCCTGTATTCCACTACTAGCCACAATTCATCTGTTTTAAACGATAAATTATTATCTTTGTATATATTTTTATTAATATTTTGATTGTTTATGTAGACTGCATAGTTCGTAATTATTTTTATTTATTTTATAAAAATTACCCCACCTTCACAATGTCGTTTGGTTATGTTTTCGCTCATTATTCAATTTAGATGTTATCAGCTTTCCGGTTTATTCTTATGGAAATAACTTATGGCGTAGTTCAAAGTCGCACTCCGTGGTGGTCCGCTGTAAGTTTTCTGTTTTCACCTATACATAGATTTACAAATAGATATTTTAATTATTGATAACAAAACGACTGAGATGCATTATCTTACAAACGTATGAGCCATTAAAAAGGTTGAAACATTTTTTTTGAAGAACTGAGGATAAACTATTTAATGACAGTAAATATACGGATGCTAATTGATGATGCAGTTCATATAATAATAATAACACAGGCACCGTTAATTTTATCTCGAAGAATGTACAACTGTTCGTATACAATTGGATCATCACTGGCTTATTTTTTAGAGCCACGAATAATAAAGTTCTATACAACTAACTAAGTTGCATGATCTCTAAGACGCCGTTAACTAAGTCGCAATAAAATAACGGATGTTAATTAAACATAGACATTCTTTAATTCCACGGTACACTATAACAACTTGTCCGGTTCCTCATGTTTGGTATTTATTCCTAAAGATGGCGATTATTTCTCATTACAGGGAGCCTCTGGGACGACACACCAAACTATGTCAAGGGTGACGACATCAGTTATTGAAAGTGATCATTACGGTAGGACTAAATACCTCTTACAGTTATACCACACAATCTGAGTAATCTTTCGAAGACAATTGTGATTTAATATAGATAGTTACCGAACGTCATCGGCTTACAAAGACAAGATTTTAGAAGTATTGAACAAACTGCTCACATCGATATATTATACTCTTGGCACTCCATAAGCAGATTACCTTCAGTCAGTCAGTCAGCTACAACGTAGGACCAGGCACATATGTGCATCGGTCCAAGTTGCCATACCTCATTAACACAAAAAGATGAACACCGGATTCATGGAAGTAGTTAATTCAGAGGTGGTAATATATAAAAGAAATATTGCATATAAGGATATAGTACAGAAAGAAAGAATTAGTTCGTAGAAAGAAAGATATGAAGTGATTTTAATCTCATAGTTTAAGGGAAGACAGAGCGTGTATACACCGACGCTATTGTGATCGATTCTGAGCCATGTCACCAAGAGTCTCCAACCATTGGTTACGATAGTCACACGGACCCCAAACAAGTAGTCTGCATCTACCAACATTGCTCAGACTAGAAGTTAGTGACTTCAAGCACTCATCCCACGTTTTGGTTTGGCCGTCCCTAACTTTCTCCCAACCATCTCCAATACCGGATAGCATTGCACGTCGTGGTAATCGGTATTCAGGCATACGTAACACGTGGCCCAACCATCTCAGTCGATGAAGATTCATAACCTCATCAACTGATTTACCATCATTACTAATACCCTGTGTCTAACCTCACTCTTACTTACCCGGTGATCCCAGCAGACGCCAGCAATATTTCTAAGACAGTTATATAATATACCCTTGTGGGCCAGGGTAATTTTACATTGGTTTTCAGGAGAAACAGACACCATCCGGACTTTCACGTAGAAACCCAAACAGTGCAGCTCAACCCCGTTTAGCAGAGGAACCAGACACCGTACAGGCTTTAACGCTACAATTTGAATAGTACAGCTCAATCCTGTGGCGCAACCACACAGGTACCAAGCACTCTAGTGGACCGATATTTCTAAGACATCTGTGGTCAAATACTAGTAGCTTACGAGTGTCTTCTACTCTTAATGGCCATGTTTCGCTGCCGTAAATTAAAACAGAACGAACTGCCGCGCAGTATACTCGTCTTTTTATTGATAAACGGATATCTCGGCTTCGACATAGGTGACGTAAGTTGGCAGAAGCCAAACGAGCTTTTCGAATCCGTGCTGAGATTTCGTCAGACACCAACCCATTAGGGCTGATCAGACTTCCAAGATAAGTGAAGTTGTCGACGTGTTCGACTACTTCACTCCCTATCCTTAGTTCAGGTATTGACGCAGACCAGTCCTGAAGCAACAACTTGGATTTAGAGGGAGAGAAGCGCATCCCAAACATTCTGGCATTGTTGCTTAGTGCTACCAAAAGACTCTGCATTGTATCAGCGTCTTCACCAAACAGGACTATGTCATCTGCCTGCGTATTCTAAATCGGTAAGTAGACCTCCTGGAAGGAGATCAATACCCGAGAATTCAGTAGACGGGAATGTTATTTCCATCAGTAGGCCTATGATGAAGTTAAACAAAAATGGAGAAAGTGGACAGCCTTGATGGACACCACTTGAGGTTGCAAAAGCAGATGACAGTTCGCCATAAGCTCTGACTCGACTAGTAGTGTTCGAGTAAAGAGCCTTCACAAGGTTTATGTACTTCTGAGGTACGCCTTTCAATGACAGACACTGCCACAGAATCTCGCGGTCTACGGAGTCAAATGCTGACTTTAAGTCAAGAAAGACCACCACTGTCGGACGCCGATAATTATGCCTATGTTCTAGAACCTGACGAATGGTGAATATGTGGTCGATGCAGCCACGACCATGATTACCTTCACAATAACTCCGAGGGTGCTCTAGTTTTTCATCATTTCCAACTACTCACCATAAAGTATAAATGTAGACATGATCTTAATTAAAATGGTTTTGAATCTTTCTGAAGCTTCAAAAACACGTTGACTATTATCTGATCTACCATGGACCAGAATTTTGTAATCAATATTTACACTAAAATACTTCATCAGTTATTACTTGTTCTTAAACTAATATATTGATCTATTCATATTAATTGTTAAATTTCTCATTCTCTTGATCTTAGATTTCTACTGGTTTAACAAGTTTAATTCTGGTTGTTAAATGTTTCATTTTTAATGTAAGTACTTATGTTCTCATTATTTCTCATAAAAAAACTTTTATTATTCAATCACATTTTATCCTCTTGTTGTTTATGTGTTTATTTGTATCAATAAATTTAGTTACTAAATTTTACCATTGATAAAGATTAAATGATTGGAATCAACTTTTAATCATTTGAATCTTATCAATCACATTCATGTAAACATACTTCATTTCAATGGTTAAAAAGGACTTCTCAATTATTATTGATAACAAGATGAGTTTTTATATTGAAGAAGATGACAAGAATGTTTTTTTAACAATAGACTGTACGATATTGAGTTAGTATATTGAAACTGATTGAAACTGCAGTTTATTTCAAGTCACTAGATTTTTCAATGAGAAATTATACAAGATTAGAAATGGAGAAAACCTAAATGGAAATAAAATTGTATTTGAAGCGGTTTATTGTGGATATTATAGTAATTTAAATAGTTGAGATCACCAGTTAGTTTAAGCTAGACCACAATGGAAAACTTGGAATCACTGGGCGACCGTTTTGTTCTGTTGTAGGACTCCTCAGCAGTACGCATCCACGATACCGCCTCGCAAGATTCGAACCCAGAACCTATTGGTCTCGCGCGCGGACGCTTACCCTTTAGAAGCAGTAACCAGTGGAGTTCAACCGGGTCTGTTGTGAGATAGTAACTCACTGAAGATAATGGTGCATGTGTTGCTCAATTTCGTGGATTAGTTGAAGTTAGATATTAACACTATTGCGTGTCGATTCAGTGGTTTAGAAGTTAAGCGTTCACGCGCGAGATCGAAGACCCTGGGTTCGAATCCCTCGAGCGGTATCGTAGATGTGCATTACTGAGGAGTCCCACATTGGGACGAAATGGCCGTCCGGTGCTCCCAGGTTTTCCATGATGGTCTAGCTTCAATTGGTTCATGAGCTCAACTATTAAAATTGTATTTGGTATTTTATATGCAGAGGATCGAGAGCTAGCTAGTTAAATGTTAACACTTTGGGAAACAAATGATATAAACCTTTGAATCATATATAATAACTGTAACTTCAAGGAAATTCATATCTAGTACCATGATACGAATTTCAGCTTAGTCATTTTCAAGTCTTTAGTATGTATGTGTTTATAAAAACTTCAAATAGTAAGTAGACCAAGTCATGCCATAAGCTGCTTAATTTATTGATCATTAGAAAAAGTATGCATATATTGTTTGATCAGAGATGTCTTCCAATTAATAATAGCACATGATGAAACTAATAAATGATTGTGAGAAGTATATATAATTGCTTGCAACACTGAACTAAAACATTTTATATGCTTTTCTCAAACCTCATTTGTAAAAACTACATTTCAACACATAAAGAGTAAACGTTATAGGATTAAACAAGTTCATTTCATCCCATAACGTTTGTTTTTCCTACTTCACAAAAGTTAGTCAACAAAACTAATTTTAATCAGTTTGATGGAAGGTTTGTTTTTAATGTAACTCATATGTGATATGTTCTGCATTCGTTCAATTAGTTACTGATGTATAGTTCCTATACTCAAACCTTACCTGATATGTAATTGAATATACTGAACTAGGGAGCTGTATATTCAAGCCAAACCTTTACAGGTTATGTAAATAACTTCAACCAATAGTAGACTTTTTTTTAGCATTTCTCACTTATCGTCGGGCCTTGAACTAGCATCTGTTCACAAACATGTGGTATGTTTGGGATCGACCATTGTATCAGTTTACCAAGTACAACTTCATGTACTCACTTCTCAGCCACATTGTTTGTGTAAAAGCCATTGATATTACTCGTATGTTTGGACTGAAGTAAGAGGAGTGAGTTTCTAATTCCTACAACTTATAGTTTATAAGTTAAGTACTTTTTTATCATGCACTTTAAATTTATCTGTAGCATCTTTACATCACTCTAGAAATGATCAACTTTAATATTTTATGTAAATTAATATGTTATGAATAATTTGTAAGACTACGAAAAGTAACTAAGCTAATGAATTCTTTCTTTCATAAAATTAACCTAATGATCATGGGTTATCTGGTTTTAAAAGCTGGTTCATATTCTTGCTTACAGTCAAGAAAGTTTTAGAAGTGCAAGTTACCGATGTAAACTATATAATACATCTCATTATCCGGTCCGTGGCTTTAACCCTGTCATTATCTAATTTTATCAATGTTTCAAGCTCAAATGATAAAGATATGTTAAAAAGAACTCATTTAAGAACTTAGATTTATTTAACTGTCTATCTTAATTTATATCAAGAGGTATTATAGATTTAAATTTCAGATTGAAAATTTTCAAACGATACAACAAACATTAAACAATTTCAACTTCAGTAAATAATATTGAAGAGGAAAAATTCACACATTTCATTATACTGTCGTCCACACAAAGTCATCGTTAGTAAGCATACATAGCGTGCATGCATGAATTGAAGGCATCATATTCTACACAAGTTTTGTCGAATGTGTTCAATGAAGTAGCTGTTGCGTGTAAAATGTAGCTCTAAAGGTAATCCCGGTTTTTTAAGTTATTAAGTAATTGTGTTTACCTTCATATTCAAGGGGGATTGAATTAAGTTGAAAAGTTTTTTAGATGTTAACATGTTAGCTACCTATGAACACTTAATATTGAATATCTTACCAAATAAATCTGTTGTTCACACTTTTTCCCTTCTTTTTCAATCCCAGTTTCATCAAAGGACTCCAGATAATCAAGGTCTAGCGTATGCTGTTTTAATCGCATCATTAATCATTTCATGGATTGAAACCACCTTCCTAATTTATCGCGTCATTCCTCAAGAAAAAGCTGCCAATCGTGGTACGTCGTAGCATAGTTGTGTTATGTATTGAACTTTGATATCGTAAATTATCATTACAGTGTGTAGAACATACATTCTATTTTCACCTATGTGTGGCGAATTTCATCAAAGTACCATTGTACCAACCAATGGTAAAATAACATTTTTGTGGATAGTAGAACGTCTGGAATTTAAGCAACTGAAGGGCTGTTCCACATCCGCACCTGAAGTGGCATTCCGTGACATATCTTGAGACGTAGACTCCTATATGAGCTACCAGTCCATTCCAGCTCTACCTTTTCAGATGTCGCTGAGAGGGGATTGAAACCAGTTATTTTGTATACAAACAATAACCTCGATAAGCTAGAAACTAATAATCATATTACATAAAAAGAATGCTTACTTATACTGATTCCCTGAAATATTTCTGACATTTTTAAGATACTCTTTTTATGTAAGAACGGGATACAAGGCTATAATAGGTACATAATCCCCATTATCCCTAAAGCCAGACAGATAAGATCGATAACACCAACATTTTCAAGACAACTTTCTGTACGGAGTAGACAATTCACACTATCAACAAGAAACTGTTTATCAGTATAGGTCGACTTGGTCTCTAGGACTATTTCAGTTACATTTATCATCGTCTTTACAGTTACTTGGTCTTGCAATATTTTAGATACTTACTTCAATATATAATGATCTGTTTCAGTTTCATCCAAACATAATAAAATCAAAAGCTGTCTTGACTTCCTGCAGTGTATTATTATGTACATGGATATATATTTAACAAAATCTAGTTTCTCATCATTACTCACCACTTCGAAAATTTTAAGATATTAGATAATTTATCATTGTCTCTCAGTGTTTTTGGTGTTTTATTCATTTTGTCTGCTTCCAGTTAATACTGCTGTATCTCCGAAGTATTATAATCTGCACAGTGTATGAGTAATAAAAATCTCTAATCCCCGTGTAGCATCTATTCAGATTACAAACATGTCATGTCTTGAAATCACAGTTTTAGAAATAAATGTATGTTTATACTCAAGTGATAGCTACTATATCTAATATTATCATCTGCTTTTGTGGTACTCCATAGTGTGGAAGTTTTATAAAAGGATTCTAAACCATTTTGCCTATAGTCTGGTGTGTGCATAAGATGATTCCAAATTGCAGGTTTGGATTATTACAAACAACAGGTCAACTTCTGTGCTGTTATCACTTTTTGCTAAACTAAAGCGAAAGGTAACAGTGTAGATTCTCAGAACTTTTGAAGTTGTTCTAATTAAGCTCCCACATTTGCAGCATAAAATTTTTTTATCCCAGATAAATCTGTCATTTACACATTTTTAACTGACTAGATTACTCTTTTGTGACTAATACTTTATCATGCATTTTTCCTATTTTAATTTTATTGCTAAGTCGAATCTGTTTTTTTTTGTTTTGTAAGTGAATTTAATTGATGATTGTGAGAAAGTTTTAGTCTAATAACCGTCCAGGAATGTTTATACCAACTGTTTTCAAGTCTTACATAAAAAAAATGCACTACTTTATCATTTCATTGATATTTCAAATAAAATTCATGAATTGATACTATCCAGTAGATTAGAAAAACTATAAAAAAGGCACTATTTTATCAATGAAGTCGGTTTGTCACTATGGAATAAAGAGGATTACTTCGGTATAATCGATATTTAGGGAGACAGTACAATATAACGTAAATATTTTAAGTATTTGTATATTCACTTCAACTTGTATACAGTTTTGTATTCACTCTTTTTTCTCCTTACCTCTTAAAGTAACAATGTGTTTAAAAGAGCAGGATGAAACTCGAAGTTTGTTAAGTTCACGACTTGAGAATCGTGTTCCTTGGTATTCTGGTCTTTCTGTACGGTCTATGAGCAATGCAGATTTTTATACACCACAAGGTACATGTGATTTTCTCATTGTAATGCGTCATATTGTTTTTTTTTTCATTATAAGTACATTTTATTTACTTGTTGTTTCGAAGATAAAACATATTCTGCTACGATACCCGGTTATTTTTATCAACAAAAAAAATAGTTCAATATCCTTCTATTTAATGAAATCCAAACAAAATATATTTTTCTCTACACTACAGATGATCTACCGAGTTAGATTTAGTTCAGAAACTTTTGAAAATTGCAAAACTTAATATGATCCATAAATGTTAGATACTTGAATACTGATAGAAAGGTCTGAAATTATAATTACTGACTGTGTTTCGTTTTTTTTCAGTAACGATTCTAAGCTTCTTCAAATTTATAAATTCATTTTACCATAATCATTGCTGACAACAGGTTAATAATGGAAACTTAATACTCCAATGCCTCTCACTTACTGAGTTTGTATAAATCTGATGTGTAATTATTATAACGAGAAATATATTTTGTACAGTTTTTCCATTTCAGTTTAATTTTATGGTGAAACAGTTAAAGATGATGTAAAAAGAAAACTAGACGGATAAATATCATTAACATAAATCCTGGCTCGGACTTTTTTAAAACCTATTAGAAATATTATTTTTAGTTTCTTCAATTCTAACTATTCATAGTAATTTTGGATGCATTATTGCAATGCTACAATTATCATACGTTCTGTTATATTCTATTTATCATTACAGGTTCACTATTCGGAGATGAGTCACCTGTAAAAATTCCGAAATCTCATAATCTTGAAGCTGCTGTAGATGTAAGTTTTGTAATTAATTTAAACTGTTATAAGTCATTACTTATTAAAGTAAGAGAAAATATTCACTACTCAAGAGGGAGGTTTTTTCAGTATCTTGTTCAGTTGTTAAACTTATCTTGATTATATGGACATTTCTAGTACTAAATTGGATGTTATTCATCATTTTCATCAGCGTGGAGATCATGTATCTTCTCTTATATCAATGAATATTGAAAATTTTAGACACGAATTCGATCAGGAAAATTTTGAAATCCTGGATCGAAAGAATGTTATAGTTTACTTCAAGATAAATTTATGTACAGAAAACAAGTATATTTATAGATTTGTGGATACCCTTTACTTTCTGAAAGTCTCTGGAAATATACTACGTTCCGTAGTAAGATAAGTAATTATCCAATCAAAATGTTACATCTAATCCTTCATATTTTTAAATGTTTCTGGGAAGTCTTTGTTTGACGATAATTAGACGAAACCTTTCCAGGCTTCTCTGGACTCCTGGGAACTTTATCTATAATATTCTTGAGGACTCCGAACAAGAATTACATCATTGGTTGCATGGAACCAGCTTAAACTTACACATTCTATGCGTAGTTAAGGTGTCGATATGCCCTACATTTGTTCATGGAGGTTATTTACCTTGCGACGAATGACATGATAGTATTTAGTGATCCCTATATTTTATTAGAGACTGACCTATTGAGACGTAAATATCAACAGTTGGAAAATGCAAACCCGTATAATTGACGGCGAATATTTACTTTTTAGCCTGCTATTTAACTTTTATATACTGATTGGTGTACACTGTTGAATTGTCCCTTTCATTCCGTGTATATTGAATACTGATCATTTACTAAGTTGTACATTCGGACATCTAGTTTGTATTTCAAGAGCTTCAATTGATTTACTTGATTGGTATATAGAACTAGTTTAGTTGTGTGACCGTTCAATTGTTTTATACTCCTATAGTTTGTAATCCAGTTCTGTTTCTCATATGTTCCTCTTAGGTAGCTGCTTTGTTACATCGTACCAATTCTTTACAAACAGAAATGTGGAGTTTATACGAAAATGAAATTTGGGGTGATAATTCACCTTCTGTCAATATCAAGTATCCACTTCGATCTGAAGTGTTGCCTAATTATCCTGCTAAGGTTTATCGCCTAGAGGTTGGTTTAAAATTTGTTCGTTCAGCCTACAATGAACTTGTTCATGTTTCATCTGAATGTTACGTGAGAAAAAATCCCTACTACAACTCTCCCTATACCTAATGTGTAAAACGAAATTTCATTTTCTGTAGCAATTAATGGTAATTTACAGTTCCTGAAATACAATATTCGAATGTCTCTGATCATCTTTCTCAGGATATTTCGGTTTTCGTTGTTCAATATTTAATTATTTTAATTTAGAGACAAACTATTGGAACTTCTCAAAACTCGATACACACGGGTAAGACAGTTCACGATGTCCTGTTCTTCAGTGACAGTCTTAAAATCCTCAGTCTATCTACATATGCTCTATACTTGCTTGAATAAGTAAACTTATAGGGTTATCTTAAATATAAGTTTACGATCTTATGTTCTTTGCTTATTGCATCAATTCCGATTTGTTATTATTCAAGAGTTACACTCACAAAAATGAAATTGGGTAACTTAACATTGTATTTGATGTGTAAATATATGATCTTTGTCGTACATCGTCGAAAAGCTACATGATCCCATAGTGTTCTCTTATCTTTTATGTTCCGTTATCCAGTTTGTTAGTTTTACAAATTGCTTTATTTGGTCTTACTTTTGTCTTCCATGTTCAATTGATTTCTGAGGACCCAATTGTAAATCTTTGAAATTTACATCTGTTGAAATCCACTAAATATGTCCTTGTCAAGAAGGTTTTCAAACGTGTTACTCTGAACTGAATACAACATTGACTGATATAACTTGGGGTGCGTTTCAGAATATCGCAGCTAATAAAGTCCAAATGGTTGTTACTGTTGAGTTCACTGATATATGATTACTAGCTGTCACTATTAAAGTGTACCTTATATGTCAAGTACCTGGTCAATGAGTTAATTAAAAAATGAGAAATAATTATATTTATTTCTTACGTTCATATTGGTCGTTGTACATATAAATGTTTTTTATACTTTTATGTAGGGTTTATTGTCAGTTTCACCGTTTCATTTATTTAATGATATGGTTATAAATGTCCATGAAACGCCTAGCTGGAATACTACTCTGACATCCGTTGAGGTTAGTAGAAATTCACTTGTTTTATGTAGTTAATTATTTAATGCTCTTTAAAATTAACCAATTAATTCTACAGTTTTTACGTTATTGATCTATAGAGTACATTTAGTTATTATTATAACTGTTGGATGAAATGAAATAACTTATTTACTAAAATTATCGGTTAAAGGTTAGTTAGTTAATCAGTCATAATCAACGTAGAACCTCGCACATATTTGCATTGGTCTAATTTGCCATTCTATGTTAACACAACGAGATTAAATTAACAATATACATTGCAAAACATACCGAAATAATATAGTAATAATTATATTGAGAAAGAATAGACATTGAGAATACGGTTTGTGAAGATTGAGTGGAAAAGTATACATGAAGGATACTGAAATTCAAAATTGCCCCTGTTCTCTGCCATTTTAACCAACATCTCTAATCACTGGTCGCAGTTATCTCGCGGGCCCCCACCAGGTAGTTCGCATCATCTAATATCGCTCATATCAACAGTCAATCATTACATGAGTTGATACCACGTCTTGGTTTGGTCGCCCCTAGCTTTCTTCCGAACTGGTAATCATGGCTCACTTCAGTTGATAAAAACTTACAATTTCATCAACCAATTCACTACATTTCCCTAGTACCTAACCGACTGTCTGACCACAACATTGCTCCCTCAGTCGTTCGTGAAACGCTAGCAATGCTTTGAATATATATGATTAGGAGCACACCGCCTAGTGAACTTCTCTACTTTTACGGATTATGTTTAACAGCCATAGATCAATACAGAGAGAATCGATCTGTAGTATGTTTGTCTTTTTTGTTTGGCGGATGGATATCTGAATTATGCCACAAGTAATGAATATTGGCAAAACCTAACCAAACTTTCTAAATCTGTGCTCAGATTTCTCCAGATATCAGTTCATCAGAGCTGAAGAAGCTTCTAAAACAAGTGTAGTGATCAGTGTTTGCTTCCTGATGTCACTGGTAGATTTAAATACTCCACACAGTTAAATATGAGATCATTCATCAATTCACACTTTCCACACAATTATAATACTTTTCTTAATAGGTTGTGTTTGTGACTTTTTATTTTGGTATGGGAATAGTAATAGACTACTAACTGATCTATCAATTAGTTAAAAATAAGAATACTGGCTTAACTATTTGTTCATTAGTTATGCACTCTTTTACATTTGATTGATGAGATTGAGTTCAAATATGTCGACTTTCAATTACATTCAATCTGTCCACTTTTCGTAATGCCATCAACTCTACGTAGTTCACTATTCTTCTTTAAGTACTTGTTACGTCCTTGATCTGTCCACTCACTTTTGTGCAGAGGATAACTTGTCTAATCTAGATTATACCTTGACGCGATAGGCTGACTGGCTTAACCTTAAGACTTGTATGCGTGAGTTCTAAGTGAGACCAACTATTCTATCACCTGATTGGTTGACAAGCACGCGAGTGAGTCAAGACAAGTCAACTGGAACACTACTCGGTTTATTCCCAATTCCGATCTGGTTCCCGATTTCAGATTAGTGTAAAAGGATACATGAATAAATAGATGACTAACCAGATCGCAACGTACAAACAATTAGGAAAATGAAAATCATCTCTGAAAAATCCCTATTATATCAAAACGCAATTATTTGAACGAAAAATATTCTTTTCAATAATTTTTCATTAGGTTCACAATTATAAATTCAAATTAGTAATCGATAAAGTGGTAGAGATAATAATAATAATAATAATAATAATAATAATAATAATAATAATAATAATAATAGTATTATTATTATTATTATTATTATTACACTTAATAACGTTTTTGAGAACTTTATTCAATATCCACCCCTAAATCTACTATATCTGACCTAATTCATATTATTCTACATATTACGTAATTTCTGATTTTTATCCCATTATTTTCTCTCTCACTCCATGTTGATCATATTTATTCTGATCATTTGTCTCACAATTTCATTTCGCTTATAAACTGATTCAAGTTAACACTTCACATTAGTCAACCCGAACATTAACGATCTCATTTGATTTCACATAACAAACAACAATTCTTGATTCACATATTACAATTTCCAAATGTACTCTGCCTTAAATCTGTCCAATTCTATGGATTATCAATTTGGATATGAGTTAATTGTAGAACCTGATAAGAAATACAATTATGTCCGAAGCTGGGATTTAGAGTAGAAAATCGAGTACATAAGATTACGTTTAAATACAATAGCTTTGGAACAGAAAAGGCTATGGCAGTGAATCATACATCAAACGAAAGCTTATAATCTACAGAATAGACTAGGGACAAAAATAAATATTACTGTTTTACAAGCTTTGAATTAAATGAAATAACCTCCCAAAAATTAGCCTCCATAGTTTGTTGTTTCTTGTTTTTCTGTTCACATAAGTAGTAAAGTTATTTCGATAGCAAATATAAATGACTTAGTTTTATATACTATCATGTATACTTAGAAAGTTATAATCACTATTGTACCTATAATTTGATAGAATAAACACTTTTTTGATATCCAATCACTAATTGTGTAGCTATTTCACTTGTCTTGTATCGTTTTCCTTTGGGAGGGGGAGTTGATTCAACTCAATACTCCTGTTTTTTTCCAGAAATACTGTAGTTACACTTTCGATAGATTCATACAACTTTGTGACTATTGCACGTCGTCGTTTAATTATTTAAGTTCTTATTTCTAATGAATCGACTGTCGTCTGGTCATTGTAGCTTATAGCATTTTAACATCTGTCGATCAACTTCTATGTATTTATCTTTATTTTTTTTAAAAATCCGTTATCATCTAATGAACAGACCTGATTCCAGTACCCCCATATTCTTAAATAATTTGGAATGTCGCTACACCAAATTATAATAAAATCTTTCCACTTATGCATTCATTGTATGTAAATTACCCACATATATTTTTTTACTAATAAATCTAGCTTTATTTAAATATAAGATGATTTTCGTCTGAACGGTTGATAACATCTTTCCATAAACGTAAAATAGATAAAATTCGGGATATCAATTACACTACAGATGTAGTGTAGTAGTACAATTGTGTGTTCAGTTAGATCATGATTTGGCATTGAATGCTTAGCGTTTTATGCCTAATTATAAGATTTGAGATGAATAATTATCTACAAGCAAAGATACATAACAATGACCTCAATTTTTTGTACGTTTTTAGTGCATCCAAGCCTTGGCTTCAGAGAATATTGACATCATACACAATATGGCTAAAGAGGCTGTCGGAGGTTTAATATCTGCCAGGTTAGTTGATCGATTATGATCATATACTTTTCAAAATGAGTTTACCATTCATGAATAATTCCATAATCTAAGATGACTAATGTGGATACAGGGATATGACGGATAATATTTATTTGAAGCTTTCAAACAATGTTTCTCGTCAAAATTGTAGAGAAAATTGTTTCATTTTTAATAAGAATTCGTCAATGAGTATTCATTACTTACTCCCGTTACCCTTCGTGGAAGATCATAGATTGCCCACCAGCATTCTCCATCAAACTGTCCTGAGAAGTCCTTTCCAGCTGCTATTCATCCTTTTGCTGTCTTCTTCCAACTCTCGACGTAGCGTGTTCCTTGGTTTTCCACTTTCCTTTTTCCCCTCAGGATTCCAAGTTAGCGTTCTCCTCGTGATGCAGTTTGATGATTTCCCCAATGCATGCCCTATCCACCTCCAACTTCTTTCCCTAATTTTTCCTCTTCAGCCGGGATCTGGTTTGTTTTGTCCCACAATAGGCTGTTGTTGATGGTGTCCGACCAACAGATATTGAGTATCTTGCGTAGTCAGTTGTTTATAAATACTTGCACTTTTTGATGATGGTTGTGATAGATCTCCAAGTTTCAGCTCCGTATAATAGAACTGCCTTGATGTTAATATTGAAGATTCTGGTTTTGATGTTGGTTGGCAGTTGTTTTGAGCTGCATATGTTCTTCAACTATAGGAATGTGACTCTTGATTTACCAATTCGTTTGTAGTTCTTCTAGGGTTACTACAGGTCCCAAGGCCGGGTGAAGGAGAAGGGTTGAGCATGGGTTCAGCAACCCCATTCCATAGAAAACAATCTTTCTAAAAAGCGCTAACCAGAATAAACAATATTTAGCCTAACTCATGTGTTAATACCCATATTTTTCAAATGTTATGCAATCACAATTTATAACTCTGTGCATAAGGGTTTGTATTTACCTGTCATGGATATTCAAAACTTAGTTAATCAATCTCTATTTGCAATTAGTCTCCCTGAATCGATGTTTTGATTTTGCCTGCATTTACAAGTTGATCTTATTTAGTATGATTACTTGTAGTTGAATCTAAAACATTCATTTCGTCCTATTTGGTATGTGTCTGTTTATTATAACCACATCCTCTTGTTGAAGTTCAGACTAAGACTCGAACCCATTATCTATCTCTTCAGACACTCTAGTTTGTAAAAGTAAAGCATGACTGACTAGTGAGTGAAGATAAACAAATGCTAAATATGTGAGACCATTTAGCATCCACTGTGGATTTCTGCTCAGATTTTGTTGTTTGTTGACCATTTGTAAATCATGTGAATAACCTTGTCTAGTCTAATCTGGTTCTCAATCGTCGGACGAACGTTGGGTATCTAAGTTCACATAATCTGATATCCGGATGTCTATAGCGTATTGACCCTATTAGTTTTATTATCAAGTCGCATTATACATTTATTGTCATCAAACCATATTTTTACCTTTATATCACTTTTACTCGGTTGCGATATCGATCGGATTATTTCTTATATTAGTACGTGCAAAAATATGTTGGTATAACTGTTGCCACACAACAGCAATATGTGTAAAGGAAATAAATCATTATTGTTCAAAGTGAGAATAAGTGATGAGCACGTAAATTTCAGAAAATAGGACAAATCTCTTTCTTAAACAATAAACAGAAATGGAAAATGTATGAATCCCTATTATATGAGTCTTCTGCGTCGTTCCCAATAAACTGTACTATTTAATTGATGGTTATTTGTGAGTCAGTGATTACAGTGAAATAGATTACATAAATAAACATAATAAGTAAAAAGTACAAATTGATAGCATGATGACATGTATACTAGCTGTGATAAGAATAATATAGGCTTGGATCAATGCTTTGTGATAGGAAGTAGGCCAATGACCTGGCAAAATAACATTAAAACAACATAAAATTATATTGTGATTAGACAGTGAAGTGTACATTTGATAAAAGTGGGTAAAGAAAAATAAACGAACAAAGTGTATGTGAAGTAATAATAAATAAAATCTTTTATTAAGAGTAATTCAGCCAAGGAAGATATATTGGTGTTATAAATTTCTTATGAACACAAGAACTTGGACTTCTCGCTCGAATCCCTATAGCTTCTGAAATATCTAAGAGACGAGATCAAACTCCATGAGGAAAGCCAGGAGGCATACGATAAATTACTTTAAATCATTTATTTGGATCTACCGTATCACTGCTATCGGTCAAGTGTAACGGAACAGAGCTATGTGTTGCTTTTATCATGCCCTTCTCTAACCAAGATGGGTGGTGTTCACTAAATCGTTGGCTTAGTTATCTGGTTATACACCCAACATAGTTTTCTTCACAGGAGTAGCTGAATCCATAGATGTACATGAATGTAAATGTGATACTTATTACCATTTTTAAATTTTGAATAAAGTCTAAATAAGCAGCTAAAGCAGAATATTATGAATTCATTTTATATTTTAGTTTTCCTCCAGCTACTTACAGCTGTATTCCTAGAACATTGAATTATGATATAATAATAAGCAATAGACATTGGTGATAGAGAGAATTGGAATAACAACGCTTATCAGTTATAACTTCATATACTTACTACCTCACTCCCCTCCATATTTTTAAATCTCAACTTCAAACTGCTTCACATATGGAGACACTGCTTGAGTGTGATGTTCGAAATTAGTTCTCACATAAGTGAGGTTTGAAATCCTAAACATATCTTCACAACAACATTTAAATGCTCGGTGTGGCGGCCATAACATCTAAGATCCTTTGACAGCTTCTCCATTTCAATACCCAGTTGTTTTAAAGTCGTGATTTACCATTACCTGTAGAAGGGGTTTTGTGGAAATTTTTTAGATATTTCAATAGTTGAAATCATGAGTCACTTGAAGCTAGACCATTATGGAAAACCTGGAGGCACTAGACGGCCGTTTCGTCCTAGTATGGGACCAGGTCTGTTGTGAGATATCAACTCACTGAAGACAATGGTGTACGGTGGCGCAACTTCGTGGATTGGTTGAAGTTAGATATTAACACCGTTGGATGCCGACTCAGTGGTCTAATGATTAAGCGATCGCGCGCGAGACTGGTAGGTCGTGGGTTCGAATCTCGCAGGGAGCGGGATCGTGGATGCGCATTGCCGAGGAGTCCCATACTAGAACGAAACGGCCGTCCAGTGCTTCCAGGTTTTCAGTGGTGGTCTAGCTCCAATTGACTCATGATTTCAACTATTGATATTGCCTGTAGGTCTTTTTGTTACTTCGCGTGTAGAAACGGTGTACCATTGACTGTACACCAATGATGCATGTATATACCTATAAATCACATCGGATTTTAGTTTAAGAGGGTGTGATAACAATTCGATAGGCACTCAATAAATGAAATACGGTGTGGTACACAATATTGTAATGGACGAATTCATGGGTAGTAAACCAGTTTATTGCATTCTGCAATAAACAATTCACTATTTGCCCATCTTCCTTGAGTTTATCCCTTACAAACTCCATTATTCTTTTATTCGTGTTGCTATTTCGATTGCTTTCTATTTTTCTCTTCTGTCCGCACAAGTAATACACAACACAGTATAAAGTTTTATCATCATCCCAATGTAAGCTATATTTAATTGACATAAATTACTTAAAAATTTATTCAAATTCACTTTAGATATTTTTAATTTGAATATAGTCAGTGTAGTTATTGTTTGTATTAAATTTACATTCTATTGTTGTTGTTTTTTAACATACATATATGTATATGAAGAGATTTTGTTCTGTTGAGATCATGGGGAATACATAACAATAATTGTTACTTTATATGTTGTACTTCTGTTGAACATCCTAAATGTCCACCGATTCCAAATTATGTACGGTAAGTGTATATTTTTGTTAATTAAATATAAACTATCCATATGTTTTTTCTATCACTCTTATGCATGAAATGTTTGCAACTCGTTTGAAATGATTCAGATGCATTCAGTTTTTTCTTAGTTCCTAAGTTTATAAATTCCTGAAAAACTTTTTTATTATTTCACTGATTTATATCTTCTTAAATAGTGTCTTCGATACCTAATCCTTTCTATTAACGCCTATACGTTTACTAACTACCACTACTTTGGGATTTGCTCTGAAAATTTCATCTCACTGTGGTAATAGGCGGTATAGCAACTTGAAGCGATAGTACATACGTACCAGGTTCAACGTTGCGTTCGACCGAATGGTTGACTGACTATCATGAAAGGGTTTTCATTGAGCATAAGCATTCAAACATACGTTAATGATATTGTTGTTTCCAGTCTAACAAGAAAATCGCACTACTACTTGGTGTACAAGTTATCATGCATTGTGTAATTGATTTCATAAGATATGTGATATGTGTTCAGTGAAATTAAAGTGTGATTGACCAGTAAGCGTGTTTAGACAAACACTCTGACAACTACCTATTTAATGTGATATCTTTCCTGTAATTAATTTCTACGCTGAATGTTAACTGCTTATAAATTATTGTTTAGCTTATATTCTAGTTCACTATGTATGGTTGTAAATCGTGTATCGGGTATAACGCTATCCGTTCTTTTTATACCCAATCGATTGAGTATTCAGCCTAATGTCAGTCACCGGCCGAATTATTGTATTGTGGAAACGAGAAAATATTTTTATTCATCCGTTATATCAATGAGTCCTTTATCATATAGCTAAATTCATCTTCTAACCAAAGAGTGAAATTAGCATAATATATTGTTACTTTAACAATAGCTAAACATACTTAGATTATGAATATTCTATTACATGTGTATTGGGAACATTTCTTAACACCCATCTTAACCATGGAGTCACCACTATAGATTTCGGTCACATCTTATTGTATTGATGAAGTTGTTAATTTTTTCATTATGTTAAACAGTTGACAAACGTGGTACGTATGCAACTTCCTTAGCGTACTTTCTTAACTAACTGAGGAAAAAGGTTTATGATGGACAAACCGAAACAAAGCATGCTTTCTCGAAATCATGAACTGTTGTTGTACAATTTGTGCGTCATGAAGAAAATCAACAGACCAAGTTAACCCCTTACACAAGTCCTTTGTTCGACTTATCTAGCTGAAAGGAGGGGGACATACGTTAAATGACCTTCTACCTGGAAGTTGTACTAATAATGCTGGTCAGAAGAACAATGAAAGTTCCACTATTAAACCATTCAGCTCAGTGTACGAAACTCCACCAAAATAATCCATCAGAGCTGCTAGGGAGACCTAGAAAATCCCTCGGAAAAAACCTATAGAGGCCCTAAAAATTCTGGAAAACATTTTATTTAATCAGCATTCAATAGAAGTTTGTCAGAAACATCTAGTAAGTGAAGAGTCATATTTCTTCATGGATGATTACCTATCCTGCTACTATATTTAGAAAGGTTCCAGAACTTTACAGAAGCCCAAGACCATTTGAAATGCTGTAAATACCCTCGATTTTCTGTACATAAATTAACCTTGGAGTAAAGCATCCTTTCCATATTTCACGCCTTTTCTCTCATGTTCAAGTTGTCATGTAGATTTAGCTTGGGGTTATTAGAAGAGCTTAGGAAACCGATTCAAGCGTTCAGTCAGAAGATTTATCAAAAGCTACAAATCTCTACCATCTCAAAATCCCCTCATCTACTCTATTTATCTTAATGATTATGTATTTTGTACATCTTCCCCTCTCTTTCGTCAGCTATCCCAAATGCCCTGGTACGACCGAGAGTGGGGAGAGGCCGCTCTTCCTTTCGAAATGCGCTCTCACATGGCCACGCGTATGTAACCTCTGCCAAAGAAATCCTACTCACTGCCTTCTCGCAGTGGGGGTATTGTTCACGAAATTGAGAGGATGGAAAGCGAAATTCCGGCGCTTTAACCGGGTTGGTGGACATGGAGAGCTCACCTAGGGGAGTTGGAAAACCCTGATTCCAAACCAATGGTGCACATGGGCTCCAGTATCCTGAAAGAACAAATGGCGTATGAACCAATTGTTGGTCACCGGCTACCATGGGACTGCATCTCCTTACGATGCTCCGCTGCCTTGTGGATCAGACCTTTAGGTCAAAGGCTCGGGGTGTGGCCCCCTAAGAAAACCATCTGCTTCGGTTTGGGCACCCGGGCAGTATGACAGCCCTCACACAAATCTGATGAGGTGACAATTATTTCACGAAATACTATGCTTGTTCCAATTAGAATTCAGACGTTTCATACTCACTTGATAACACTCATTATTATTATTACTATTTTTTTTATATACTACGTCACTTATCTACCCCTATTCTCACTTCATGTATCCCCTCTTTCAACTCGCCCATCGCGGAAACTCTGTTCTGTCTAAACGTTCTCGAGTCACTGACTGGTTGAAAATTGAATGCTACCACCAAATACGAATACTGAAACAGTCTTTCTGAAACCACGTGCACCATTCAAACTGACCTCGTTCAACGTTCACACACTAATGCAGGCCGGACAACAGATAGGGCTGGCTATGTCGTTAGAAAGCCTTAATATCGACGTCTTGGACGATGGGCAGAATTTTTCGAAGGGCAGTTCAACTGGCCTGTCGCTCCAGCAACATCGATCAGACTGTCGGTGACGACTGATCCACCAAACGAGGCGGACGTCCGCAAGGAACTCCAACTCTTGAAACGCTGCAAACCCCCAGGTTCAGATGACCTCCCTTCGGCTGTTTTTAAAGATGGTGGCGACTTTCTGGCTAGTGAACTGACGATGTTGTTTACAAAGGTCTGACAATTAGAGTGTTCTAACATCATGGAATGAGTCGATAGTTGTCCCTATATTTAAAAAGGGTTTATGTTGTTCCTGTAACAACTATCGGGGGACAAGTCTACTTCCGATTGCATCCAAGCTATTGGCTTCCGTCATACTTCATAGCTTGTTCAAAACCCGAGAAAGATTGACTCGTGAGGTGCAGGCTTGTTTTAATATGAGAGTGGAAGGTCGGATCTACAACGCGTCGATGAGAGCAGTTTTGCCCTATGCTTGTGAAACCTGGCCTCTCCAAGTTGAGGATGTTAGACGACTCTCTGTGTTCGATCATCGTTGTCTCCGAACGTTTGCTGACATTCAGTGGCAACACCATGTTAGTAATGCAGAGATTCGTTATCGTGTGTTCGGGCGCAGAGACGATAATTCACTTGGTGTCACCATCTTGAAGCATCGACTTCTGTGGCTGCTACCTTGACGCGGTGGTCGGGCTTGCCTATCGTGATGACCCAACCGAGCTATATTGGCTGGAACAGATGTTCCTGCAGGTTCTACCATGCCAGGCAGGTCGATTGGTGAACGGTAAGACTAAAAGCAGCAACTCAAGGTCTGAGGGCGAAGTCGTACTGCCGACTGTAGAGGGGTGTGACAGCAGTAAGGTGTTTCCCTCGGACATCCAGCATGACAGCGATGCTGCCTTCCCACAAGGAGGGGTGGGGTTAGAAAAGGTCGACCCTAAAAATGTCACACCTCACCTTACCTCACGGATTTCCGTCTCCGGCGGTAAGGCCCTTTGAAGAACGGAGCTAACACGTCAAAAATCTTCCACAAAAAGGCCGTGCGCGACCGGCCTCAAGCAGTTGTCCCTTGGGCTCTGCGGTCACGCTCCCAGGTCGTCAAGACCAACACTAATCCAATTTCCTTTTCAGGTTCCTCAAGAAATACCCTTCCACGGTGTGGGCAGCCGGGAAGTGATATCAGCCCTCATACCCGTAACAGCACAAGAGACCAAGGTGGTCACATTCAAATCTTTCCTACACCTCCTAATACCTCTCTTATCTCCCCGACTAACCCTCCTCACGTCTCTTTATCACCTCGCACCGCTAGGGCAAACGATTCGAGTACGTGGAACGCCATTCCTGGTCTTTTGAAACCACGCTCTAAACTACACGTAGGAGCTTTTAACGTACGAACACTTTGCCAAATAGGACAGCAGGCTTCCTTAGCTAAAACTTTAGAATCTCGCGCCATCGATGTGTGCTGCGTCTCCGAAACGCGCATACAGGATCCAAGTAGCGTCATTCATTTGACCTCACCATGCCAAAATAAAGAACCGACTCGATTTACGCTTCGTGTATCTGGGAGCCCTGATTCTGCTTCCCGTGGCCTCGCCGGCGTAGGCATAGCATTGAGTCCTAGGGCAGAACTAGCTCTCTTAGAGTGGATCCCAGTAGACAGTCGTTTGTGCGCTGTCCGACTGAACGGAACAGTAAGAATCCGGAAAGATAGGGACACTCGTCGTTGCCTCTTCGTCGTCTCTGCCTATTCTCCCACTGACTGCAGCTCAGATGATGTAAAAGATGAGTTTTACAGAAAGTTTTCGGACCTTCTCCGAAAAGCTAGGCGCTCGGATGTAGTATTAGTGGCCGGTGACTTTAATGCTCAAGTAGGTAAACTAAGCGATAGGGAAAGACACCTAGGTGGATCTTATGGTGTCGTGGCTCAAAGAACAGATAATGGCGACCGTCTGTTGCAGCTATGCTCAGATAACCGCCTGTTCCTTGCAAATACTAACTTTAAACATAAGGAAAAACATCTTTTAACATGGAGACCCCCTAATTCGTCCCAACGTTGGACCCAAATAGATCACATCGCTATCAGCCACCGATAGAGGGGCTCGATAGAAGACTGTCGCTCATTCTGGAGCACATGCCTAGATTCAGATCATGCTCTAGTGCGAGCGCGTATTTGCTTGCGTCTTACTGGACGTAGGAAAGACGCTGCAAGAAAACCTCTTACGGGCCTACTTATTAATAGTCAAGCTAAGAGTATATTTCAGGAACAACTAGGAAAACAGTTAGGCAGCCATGTATGTGATGCCCACCCCGATGCAGCATGGAATGATATCCGAAAGGCTGTGGAAACAGCAGTGATATCTGCTGGTAAGGTAAACCAGAAGGTTAGGGAGCAACACTGGATCTCAGCAGCATCTATCGCACTGATAGATGCTCGGAAACTCATTCCACCTGGCTCTGAACATAATGAAGAGCGGAGTCAGCTTGAGCGCAAGCTGACCAGAAGCCTACGTAATGATCGCGAACAGTGGTGGGTGGCGAAAACAAGAGAGATGGAAAAGGCAGCGGCAATAGGTAATAGCAGACAATTGTTCAGACTCGTTAAGGAAACCGGAATTAGGAACCCGACCGTTAGCGAAACAATCTCAGAGAAAGATGGACATATTATTCATTCTCAATCCAGGAGATTGGATCGATGGGCAGAACACTTTAGGGATCAGTTCAACTGGCCTTCAGCCACACTTCGGTTTCCCACGATCTCTAGTCAACCTCAATGGCAAGTTAATGTAGGTCCTCCGACTTTTTACGAAGTTGAAAAAGCCATAGGAAATCTGAAACGAGGGAGAGCAGCAGGCCCTGACAGGTTTACTCCTGAGATTTTTAAGGATGGTGGTCCAGTATTAGCAATCAGATTAACCGAGGTCTTAGGTAGAATTTGGGAACTGGACGTAATCCCATCTGACTGGTCTCAATCACTGATTGTGCCAGTCTATAAGAAAGGACAAAAGTCCTCTTGTGACAATCACAGAGGAATCAGTTTGACTAATATAGTGTCTAAAATATTAGCTTCAATAATAGTTCGACGCCTAATCAAAGCTCGTGAAGAGCAGATTAGAGAAAACCAGGCCGGTTTTCGACCTGGACGTGGTTGTATAGATCAGATATTCACACTACGTCAGGTTCTAGAACACAGACACACATTCAGACGCCCCACAATGGTAGTATTTCTCGACCTTAAGGCGGCATTCGACTCTGTTGATCGTGAGGTTCTATGGCAGTGTTTGTCACTGAAAGGAGTACCAAAGAAGTACATTAACCTTATAAAGGCTCTCTACTCGAACACAACTGGTAGAGTGAGAGCTTATGGCGAACTGTCATCAGAATTGATTACCTCAAGTGGTGTTCGTCAGGGCTGTCCACTCTCCCCATTCTTGTTCAACTTTGTGGTCGACGTACTTCTAGAGATAACACTTTCCTCATCTAGATTTCCAGGGGTTGAACTTCTACCGGGAGGTTCACTTGTTGACTTAGAATATGCAGATGACATAGTTTTATTTGGTGAAGACGCTGACAAAATGCAGAGTCTTCTGACCACTCTAAGCAACAATGCAGGCATGTTCGTGATGAGATTCTCTCCCTCGAAATGCAAAATGTTGCTTCAGGATTGGGTTACATCTACACCCGAACTAGTGATAGGGAGTGAAGTAGTTGAGTGTGTCGACCGCTTCACTTATCTTGGAAGTCTAATCAGCCCTTGTGGTCTGGTGTGTGACGAAATCTCAGCACGGATACAGAAGGCTCGACTAGCTTTTGCCAACTTGCGTCACTTATGGCGTAGGCGAGATATCCGTCTATCAACCAAAGGACGTGTTTACTGCGCAGCAGTTCGTTCCGTCCTACTTTATGGCAGTGAAACATGGCCGGTAAGAGTAAAGGATATCCGTAGGCTACTAGTATTTGATCATAGGTGTCTTCGAAACATTGCTCGTATATCATGGGACCATCGAGTAAGTAACACAGTTGTTAGGAAACGGGTACTAGGTAAGGATGGCAAATCAATTGATGAAGTAGTGAAACTTCATCAGTTGAGATGGCTGGGACACGTGTTACGTATGCCCAACGACCGACTGCCTCGACGTGCTATGTTCAGTGGTATAGGAGTAGGTTGGAAGAAAGCTAAGGGAGGCCAAACCAAAACATGGCACAAGTCCATGAAGTCACTGACAAGTGAACTGAGTCATGTTGGTAGGTGTAGACTACCTGGTTGGGGACCGCGAGATGATAGAAACCGATGGTTAGAGATCCTGAATGACATGGCTCAAAATCGTTTGCAATGGCGCAGGTGCATCCACTCTTTGTGTTCTCCCAAATTCTAATCTTCTGAATTCTTCATGTCCCTTTTTTCCTCTTTCCAAATTTATTTCACTGGATTATACTCTATAAATAACATCTCCAAACCCTAATCTTCCCGATTACTGCTTATACTCTTATTACCTCTACCACTATGGGATTTGAATCGACAACTGCATCTCTGTGCTAATGTGGTGTGGCAACTCGAACTGATGTACGTACGTACGAAGTTCTACGTTGTTACTGACTGACTGACATGTTCTACGAATGTCGTTCCAGAGAATTCCACGTCTCGAATTATCTGCCGACTCTGGGAATGGTTGGAAAAAGCGGATAGGTGGTCAGTGTATGACATGGTGTCGTGGCATGAAAAAAGGCTGTACAGGCTTGGCTTGTGTTGGTCCTTCACTACTACTTGATTGGGATCCTAGAGATGGTGCAACACAGTGGCTAGAGACATTATCAGATATGGCTCAGAATAGAAGCCAGTGGCGATCCTGCTGTAACCTTTTCTTTCTTCATAAAAAGTGACCGTAACTTCTTTAACTGAAAGAATTCTTTCTGGTTGTATCTTTCTGTTTCCCCCATTATTATTACTATTATTTCAGTACCACCCACTAATCTGTGGTCGTTAGTGTTCTTTTTTCTTCTCTCTTATACGCACCTTACATTCTTTATCTCTTCCCATTCTCATTATTATTGTGTGGCGCATATGAATTTGGTGCCCCCTTGTACCCATATTTATGTGTTCAAATAAATAATAATATAAAGTTTGTTTAAAGACTTGTAATTTACCTATATATAATGTGTATGGTTCTAAAAATAAACCTATTGGAAAAGAAATTTTGAACTAAAAACACCACCCATCGTCTGTATATCTTTGTATTTTTGTAGTCGTTGTTATTGTTATCTAATAATGATAATAATCCGTGGAATTTGCATTGGTGAATAAATAGTGTCCATGTTTAACTATTTTGCCCAAGGATGTACATGAAAACGCAATATTTTAATCCTGATTAAGTCTAGTGATCACTGATTTTCCGCATGTTTTAAAGCGTAAATAAGCTTCTCTCTCTCCCCATTTTCCTTGATCTTCGTACTCACTAAACCTACAGACATAAATATTTCGGTAATTTTCATATTAAAGTTAACACTATAAATATATAATAGACTCGATGATTTTCATTTGATACAGATTCTTTCACTGTTGATTTTTTCCTAGATCTCTGTTATATTTTACACTGTATATAAGTGTTTAGAAAACTTATTGATGGAATGATTTGTTTCGGTAATATTCTGTCTTTAGTAGTTCGGAATTTTGAAGTATTTGTAAATAAACAAACAGATAATGCATTGTTTATTATTCTAGGTGGAAGTTTTAGGTTTTTCTGTAATTAGATGATTTTTATCGATCCACAGTATACACTGTAAATCAGAATTCTACATTGTTCAATTCCATATTTGAATGTTTACATTTAATCTGTCTACAGTCAACTGTATATTAATTTAAACAATTAGTATGAATAGCAAGATTTACCACAACTTCTAAGTTTGCATGATGATAACATCAAGGTATTAAATACCCCGTATCAAATTTCGTTACATATTACATTGATCATACTGTGTTTTTACTAAGATATTTCAATGGCTATAATATTTGTCCATAAATTACGGTTATTTACGTTAATTCACTGTCTTAATTTACTTTATTCGTATCAACGTTTTTTTCTTCTGAAAACGAATAGTTCTGAATACATTTTTTTTACAAGAAAAACAAGTTAAACTCGTAATCAACACTTTAAGTCTATAATTTTTTTTTAAAAAAAAACAATATTTTCTTTAGTGCTGAACAAGTAATTAGTGCGTGTATATTCCGACCAATTCCTGATTGTCCAAATCAATGCAATTTAGTATGGTTCTTATGCAATGATTTAAAGGTATGTTATTATTTTCGTAAGATATTAAACAGTATGAATTTAAGAGAAATATTCTTGCCCTCAAATGCCATGGTACGGCCGAGAGTCAGGAGAGTCCGCTCTTCCTCTCGAAATGCTCTGACATGGCCACGCGTATATAGCCTCTAACAGGGAAGTCCTACTCACCACCTTCTCGTGGCGGGGGTGTTGTTTACAAAAATGAGAGGACGAAAAGCGAATGTCCGGGGCTTTAGCCGGATTCCAAATCAATGGGCGCACATGGACTCCAGTATCCTGAAGGGACAAATGGCGTATGAACAAATCGTTGGTCACCGGCTTCCATGAAACTGCATCTCCTTACGATGCTCCGCTGCCTTGTGGATCAGACCTTCAGGTCGAAGGCTCGGGGTGTGACCCCCTAAGAAAACCACTTGTTTCGGTTTGAGCACCCGGGCAGTATCACAGCCCTCACACATATCAAATGAGATTTGTGTGGCGCATATGTATTTGGTGCCTCCTTGTACCAATATCTATGTGTTAAAATAAATAAATAAATGAAGATTTATTAGTAGTAGCTTCTATCTATTGTTTACTGAGCTTTTGATATTTGGACAAGAATTTCCAGATTTAAAATTTACTAGAAGTCGTTTTGAATATTAGTCTCTTACCTTAGTAGAAGCTATTTTAGCATCATAATAACAGCGGCCTGCTTTATAGACATTGATTCTAAGTATACTAAAATGTTAGTGTTTAAGTTCTAGATAAATATATATTTGAAGATATTCAGCTTCTAAGTAGCAGCTGTCAAATATATCCGGTCACATTTTGTTTTCGTTTGGGTACTTGATATGTTTGTCGACTTCTTATATTTTGCTGTTAATTATGAATGATAACGTTGATTGTTACACATTAATGTAAAGTTTTTTGATCAGTACTATTTTACTCAAACATTTTAGCTGGGAATTCCTCAAAGACTTCTAGATAGATCATTGAATTCTCTTCTACCTTCAATGATGGCTGGTTTAATCGAGAGATCTAAATTAATAGAAAATACTCCTGTTGATGACTTTTTTGTTAATATTCAACCGCGCCGTGCACATAGAAAGAAAAAACACGGTAAACGTTCAGCCAGAAAACATCATGCTCGTTCAAAGGCCATAATAAAGGCGTTGGATTCAGTACAAGAAAATGTTAGTCATTCGTCTGAAGACAGTGGTACTGCTGCTGATAATTTACACTCAGAAACTCAAAAGTTAATTTAGTGAATCTATTGAATCATTTTTTCTACTATGTATAACTTCTGCTCATTTGTATTGTCAGTTGCTAGATAATTAAGTGACATAAATGATTGCTTAATACTTCCAATCACTTGTAAATCATTCATTTCTGCCATTACTGTTTCGTAAGCAATATTTTATGAAGATCTACAATAGACTACTAACTTAATTTATTTGTTTGTCTTCTCAGATTGATTTCATCTCTATATCCGGTAATGTATAGTTTATATTATGATTATTATTAATATTTTTTGTAAATAAAAAAGTAAAGCAGTGATAACTTTCAGATTTTTATTAAGTAAGATCAATGAATGTTTTAAGACGAAGTGAATACATTTCATTTCCTCTACTTCAAATCTTTTTCATACACAGTGATTTGTTTAAATAAAATATTTTACTGTTTCAATTTTAAGAATAATATCCACGGTCATTTAAGTCACTAATTAAGAGTAATCATAATATTCGCTGTTGTATTTTGAATAAAAATGTGGACTACCGCTACTGGTACCACTGTTTTGTTAAGACTGGAGAATAACGACGAGACTATAATTTATAAATGAACCAATCAGATTTAAGATAACATGTCTTGCATCTTGGCGCGAAATCCACTCATCTACGTAACGAAGTAGCATTTTGACGCTATAGCTGATGTTGATTTGTGATGAAAAGGCTAATTCTAATTCTTTACACTAACTGTTAACCCTAGTAAGTAGGTGGACATCCGCATCGTCCATAAATTTTTGGCTCACCAGAATTAACTATTACTTGCTACTTAGTGCAACGGGACAAAACTGCTCTACCAAGACAACGAGGAAAGTAAGACCATAGATGTAGACTTGTTTCTCAATCACCAATGAAAACGATATCGAGAATATTGATGTAATATTTATTAATTATGGTGTTTGGTTTACAAATACATTATACCGCATTAAACTAGAAGTTAATTAATTATTTAATGTTTTCAATAATTATTTAAAGTAAATAAATTACCTGTTTTAACTGAACGACCTAACTTCTAACTGAATTATTTATTTGCTTTCTAAAATTCAATTTATGAACGAATTAGATGAACAGAAACCAGATTGTAACGTTATTAATTACAGGAAACGTGTGGATATTGCTGCAGTTTGTGACGGATCCCAGTAAAAGAGCTTATTCAAGACATAACAATACGCACAGTTACTAGTGATATACCAAAATGAATTAACACTACAAACCTAAGTGTTTGTTTATGAGTAAAGCAAAAAGGTAACAAATAACACAATAAAAATGGTATATTAAATAAGAAAATGATAATAGTTGTTATGAAATGAATGTTACTTGTAAGCTTCTGAGATAACAATCAAAAATAGGTTCAATTGATTAACGGATGTTCCTCTGCATGTGATAGCACCAACAGCGTAGTGAGAAAGATTAAATCCGATAGCATTTTTCAATTAATAATCCGGGCGCAAATTCCAACGAAGTGTAGAATGGTTTAAAACAATGTCATAACACCATTATAATATTCTAATACTAGCCATGACCAATAAAGCAGAAGAACAGACGGCAGAGAGGCAACCGCTCAGTGGCATCCTCCATGGTTGAAGGCTACTGAGCACTTAAAGACCAAATTGTCGTAAAACGGTTGGTGCATCACCTCGACAATTCATAGGGTTTTGCAGAAACGTTCAAATCAAGACAATTTCAGATTTGATGGGTTTTAATGACCCGAGATCTGACGCCAACTGGCTCGTTTCTGATTCATACTGAGATGTACAGGTTAAAACATCGTTGTGGCAGACCTGCATGCCACTTCCCTGTCGATGATGGAATGCAATAAGTGGTATCAAAATGTGTGCACCGAAGTCAAACCGGCTGCATATAAAAGGAAGTCGCAGATGCATAAGCACTTCAGGCAGACTTAAATATTGTGATTAGCTGGTCCAAGGAGTGGCTGATGTCTATCAACGCTGCAAAGTGGGTCTACATGAACTCTGGGGACACAAATCGATTTCTTTGCAGTCGCTTCTTACTGTTTCAGTACGTTTACAAGAATCTGGTAATGTTCGATGGGTGGTAGTCTTGGAATTCCACTGAACTAATTCTAGTCGGTGTGGTACTCATTTGTTGACTTTCACATTTTGTAATTTCAATGCGTTTGTCTCAAAACCGCAGGGTTTCTGCATAGCAGCAGCTATCGAATTACCAAGCTAAATGTTGGTTGGTTGCAATGTGAAAACTATAGTTTGTAAGAAGATGAAATCGAAAGAATGAGAGGGGAACGGAGAAGATAATTGGAGAGATAGGAGTAATTACTGATACACGGCTATGATGACCGTGGTAATTTGTAAGGCGTGCATCGGACGCAGCTGGTCTAGGAGGGGGATGGCAGTCCACGGCCGAGTATGTGTTTGTCAAGTCTCTTGGTTTGCAGAAACAGTTCGTCTCAACCCAAGTATCTTATGACTACGGAGAGTAAGGCCTTATGTAGAAAACACCGGGACTTACCAATATTTCCGCTTTTCAAACCTCGTGTGAAATCAAATTTCCTTATTACGATCAGGTCCCTCAACACATTAGATAGTCTTTTCATCTATTCTTTTCCTTCTAGACATATTATATATATATATATATATATATATATATATATAACACAGAAATTTATATTTCTTATTATCCTTTTCAATTAATTGTGACTTTCGTAGCATCATTCTAAATTATTATTGCACAAATGTTTATACTAATATCCGGTTTTACTCTGTATACTATTACATAAATCTACATTTATTCATCCGAGTTCATACAATTATTATCATGGTGGAACCTTTTCACTAGGTGATCACTTCCTTTCTCTCTTTTTCTTTCTTCTAAATAAATATTATTCATAAGATTCCGAAGTTTGTAATTAAGACAATAACTTGTGTTACACTTAAATTAACTTCTCACTCTCCTTTTATCTTCACTATGCATACATGGCTCATACATATTGATATTTGGTTATACTTTGCGCTTAATTGAGACTTTCATAGCATCACTCCTAACTATGGCTGCGCAAACACTTATTCTAACGTCATGTCTTACTGCAATAATAAGTTATTTTTTATTATTTTATTTTATTTACTCATTTGGCGATACATACATAGTCGTTTCTTATTCTTCTGTGTTCATAAACACACTCATTAAACTATTTACGTATTTCACGTCTTCTTTATATCCATTCCCTTTCCTTCTTTAAAGTCAACTCGATATTCCTCTCAATTACACAGAACCTGATTTATTATTATTATTCTATTGTCACCATTATCTTCCTTTTCTCTTTTCGAATATAGCAAATGTAATGCTAACATTATTGAATCTTGTGCATCATTGCATTTTTGAAGAAACCCGAAATGGTTTGTTCACAACACTTATGTACCCAGTAGATGTTTGTGGATAATAATAATAATAGTTAACGACAGTACTGTAGACAACTCTGATGCCATTTTTGAACAATTCAGCCGCCATTTCTCGCGATGCTACAACACGAAATCTATATGGAAAACATCACTTATCACCCATGGATTCAAAACGGGAACATGTATCGATATTGCCCACTATATGCCCGTGAAATTGATATCTATGCTACCAAGGATCATGGAAAAATTCATCCGCAAACAGTTATTATCATTTTTACTTCCGGCTAGCCTATTAAGCACATACCAGCGCTTCGAGTTTTATCTTGTCAGGTCCTGCTGCTTCCTCACCCTTGATTAGTCTGATGACCGTCCAGATTTCTTCGATCGTTGCTTGAGTGACGTCCATAAGAATATCTGTAGGTACTGCTTCGATATCCGATGAATTCAATGGAGCTTGTTTATTCAACTGTTCCACCCATCTCTTCCTCTGTTCTTCAATTTCAGTGATTGGGTTGCCTTCTTTGCCCTTTACCGGTATTATTATTATATTAATTATAATAATATCCCACCAGTTTCTGCGCTGTGTCATATAGCTGTCTCATATTACCTTCTGTTGCAGCTTTTTCCCCTGTCTTTGCTAGCTCTTCCACTTATTTCTGCTTCTCAACTCTAATGCTTTTTATCACTTTCTTGTTTGCTTCTGTGTACTCGGCTTGTGTCTTGATATCCTCTGCACTTTTTCGGCAAATGTTAGTTGCTGTCTTCTCTGTTTAATGAATCTTGTCTATGGATTCGATAGAAATCCATTTCTTATGATGATGCTTCATAAGGCCCAGAACCTCCTGACACTTGAATTTAGTGCTTCTTTGTTCCCTCCTCTTCAGTTTTCCTTTATGGTAGTTTCCTTTTCTTCGATGAGTAGATCGTGTAAGGCCTGCAAACTGTTGTTGAGAGCTATAATGAATTCTTTGAGTTTGTCAATATCTCGAATGAAATTGTATCGAACGTTTGTAATGCTGTTTGTCCAGTTGTCCAATGCTTCCTTGGTAACCACCAGGTGGTAATCTGAAGCTATGTCAGCTTCCCTCCTGATTCTCACATCCTCCCTTGACCTTGTAAATCTTTAGTGCCTGTAGGTAACCCTCGTTCTATTGATATTAGAAACAAGATTAGTAGTGAATAAGTCTTTATTTAAGTCGTCGCTCAGTCACGATGGAGCGTGGGATTACTTGTTCAGACAAACAAAGCTTTTCAACACTCAATGGAAGATAATAGGAAATATAATGCCTATACAAAATAAGGAAGTGAATGGATACTTGAACTCTATCGTTTCGACATGTACTTAGTTGTTTGAGGCCAACTCTTAACCAGTCAACCTAGGCTGTTACATTAGCTTCCCCTAGAATGGACTTCCTTAGGAACGTCGGTTCGATTAACTGATCTGTCAAAAACATCTAAGTTCTGTTTCCGCAGCCCAAAGGAGAGTTGCCGACTCGCTCAGTGTTTGACTTCCAAACAATGACGACTAACTCCGTCAGTAATCGACGATAGTCCATGAATGTCTCATCATTTGCTAGCTTGCTATCTTATTTTGTAGCATGTAATTTC